GATGGCAAAATCAATCATTTACATGGAATTGAAATTGCATGAATGATAATTTTGTTTGCAAAAGACACGTTTTCAGGCAGGAGTACATTGAACATTACTTTGACTCATGAGTGACAGCAGCTTTAACTACAAACGTTCTCACTGTAGGCACGTCAATCTTTTCTGCTATGTGAATAGCAGATCAAGACGATAAGAGGTCTGAAGAAGTGTCACCAGACCCGAAAGTTAACTCTGCTTTCTTTCCACAGATGCTGGCGGACTTGCTGAATTTTTCCAGCAATTTCTGATTGTGTTTTTGATTTCCAGCATCCACGGTTCCTTTGGGTAATTTTTTACCAAAACGATAATCCCATCAGTCTTTTTGCAGAACACATGGAATTGAACAAAACGGTCGAACTTCTACAGCAGGTACAGAAAAATTAACAAGGACCGGGCTTGAGAAAAAGTTAACTGCAAAACATGAGAATCAAACTTCCAGTGCCTAAGGTGACAGAATAGGTTTTAAAGTTATACAGAAGTTTCTCTGGGCCTCATCCACACTGTCATGTGAATGTACAGACAATATCAAGCAATGAAAAGTGGTCATGAATCAGTCACTACAGGTGACTAAAACACCACATGCCACGTCTAGGAGATAGTGAAATGAAAGAGCAGGTCTCTTGACCAGTAGCAAAGGCAGCAAGACTTTCTGTTGCTGATTTTTTCAGACAATCTGTCCGAAAATCAGCCAAACCATCCCAGAGGTCAAAAAGAACTTTAAATGCAACTTATGATCCACGCAAACTGAGTTTCGGGAACATTTTGTAATTACTGTTACAAAAAAATCACGCTTGAAGTTTGCCCAAAACTGACTGTGACACTGATTGAATTGACGATAATGCCAGGTGCTTGCTACACATGTTCATCCATAGCCTGAGGATGAGCTGAATAGTGAGCTTTGTTTTTCAAAGCAAGAATGTAAATGATACATCAAGTATATTTTAAATAATAACTTATTCCCACCCACTTATGAAGAAGCTAACTGCTGTCAACCAATGTAAATATTACAAAGCCTGCTCTGTCAAACCAAAAATAAGCTCCAACTAAAACATAATCACTTTGCCATTGGTGGGCCAGAGTTGATGAAGGAACCAGATTTTAGATAACTGAACCTTATTTTTGGTTGTAATATTAAAAAGGTACTGTGGCTATCTGTGGATGAGGGAATGATATTTTTTAGGCAATCATTTAAAAATACTTTAAAATGCTGACCAATTGTGTAGGGTTATTGTTAATTTTATGTTAGTACTAGGATTATGTATTTGAAAAGAAATTGGAAGGAAAAGAAACACTTCTCAAAACTGGTATAATTTTCATCTGGATTTGTAGATGCACCCAAAGCACGAGCTCTTGGACATGTTGCTAAAATTGGTCACTCATCAAGTCTTTGCATTTTCCTGCAACCGTTGGCTTAGTGGTAGTATAATCTGTGCTATTATACACCAATAAAACACATTTTGATACAACACAATGGAAATGATTCATTGAGCAACTGGCTTTATCCTGATATGTCACAATTCATTATCACAACTATGAAACCAAGGAAAAGGAAGACAATAAGTAAACTGGCAGGCTCACTAGCATTCAACAACAGTTAAAATTGTGGAAGATTTCACAAACAACCGTGAAATGTTTTATCTGCACATTCCTACAATACCAGTTACTTACTTGCTATTCTCACTTAAGTATTGTTGCATAAAGAACAAGTCTAGAAACTTCTCATTTGGACGAGGGATGTAACATGTACAAGCAAACTGCATGTATTTAAGATGCGAAATTATTTCATATTCCTGAACGAACACAAATAAATAATGAGCTGTTAACGAAAGTTCAAAACTGCAATAAGTGCTACTGCTATATCCTACTCAGTGGTATTTTAAACAGCATCAATAACTTTATTCTAACCACACAGTAAATCATGTCACAAAAATATTTCTGCTTTGGAAATAAATGACACTTATGTGACTTTTCAAGGATAAATTTCGATACAGGTTATCCAGGATGGTTTCAGGACACCAATTCCCAAAGCAGTGCTTCAAAGATGGATGTATTTTTTTAAAATAATTAAAGCTTCACTTAAGAACTATAAGCTGATTAAGGCTGAAGACAAGAAATGTTATGAAAGATCATTCATCCAAGCAAAGAAATTCTGCCGAGTACAAAATAAGTGGCTGATCTATAGTAATTGATACCAAGACAGACGGTGAAAATGTTGAGTTAAGTTTTCAAAGTTGCAGCATCATAAAATTTATGGATCATAAGCAGCTGGAAGTTACTGGACTATTTTCTTTCGATCACATCGGCTTCTTGGTTGAATCTTGTCACAATTTGACATGTAAAGAGGGGCAGACCTCTCGAAGTCAAACGCTGACAACATGTTACTGATAAGTTGTAAAGTGCATGCCAGTTTTCAACAGGTCAGTTGAAATAAACACTTGATGAATCATCCATTACAAATGACAGGCTATTTGACAGATTACACTCCGAGCTAGTTAATTGGAGTCACACAGCATTGGATGCCTATTTTGCATCCCAGCTGATGTTACACCACATGGCCCAGTTTGGCAAATTTGGCGTCAGTTGCTTCTGATTGCAACCTATTCTATTCATAGGTTAGATTGAAATGGGACCTCAAGTTACAGTTCTGAAAGCAAAAATTCATTGTTTGCCACATGGTCAAATTCCTATCATGTTAATATTCTCAAGTTGTCTGCTGAATGCTGCAGTACAAGATGAAAATACAATCTGCGTGGGTTTCCTCTGGGTGCTCTGGTTTCCTCCCGCAGTCCAAAGATGTGCAGGGAAGGTGGATTGCCCATGCTAAATTGCCCATAGTGCCCAGGGATGTTCAGGTTAGGTGGGTTAGACATGGGGAATGGGTCTGGGTGGGATGCTCTTCGGACGGGCAGTGTGGACTTGTTGGGCCGAATAGCCTGTTTCCACACTATAGGGATTGTATGATACCCTCAACAGTAACCACAGCAACAGAGATGTTTGAGAAGTTGGTATTACCAAATTCAGAAATATGGAATGAAATGCCCAGTCAGTGATAACCCCAACAGCTGCACTCCCTCAATTTCTGACATCCCATGACTAACTGATGCCTCTCTTCTGAAGGAAAACACTAACTAATATGGAGAGATTATTTACTCAGGTTCTTCTATAATGGACTAATTTAACAACATCTTCATTCACATAACACCTGGGAAGTCCTGTACCTGGTTGTGACTGCTGAAAGGTAGATTGCATCACATCAGCAGCGCAAAAGCAGGTCTTTTGGCTGAACTGCTCCATGCTGGTCTTTACACTTCTCCCACCTTGCTTCAAACTCTTAATATGCCTCTTTGTGACCTTTCTGACATCTAACTTTCTCTCAAATAAATCTGTGCTCATCTTCTCAACTAGTCCTGGTAGCAGCAGGTTCTGCAATCTGACTGCTCTGAGCAACAAAGCTTCTCCTGAATTCTTTTATTGGATTTATTAGTGATCATCTACATTTAAGATGCAGTTGTAGACTCCCCCTACATCCCCCATCAAGCAAAAAAAGCACTACAATATTGAAAGGCACGCTCTTCCCCTTTCATACAATTCCAAACATTTTGCACAGTGCAATTTTCCGTACTAACTTTCGTCTCTTGTCAAAGTTGATCAAGCCATTCTGTAAGAGATAGACATGGACAAAGAAAATTAATTCAATATGTACAAAGGTCAAATGGTACTACAAGATCGTGAAATTCAAAAGATCAGAAGTGAAATACAAGCTCTCTAAACTTGGTTCCATTTTAGTGTGTAGTCAAAGGTCAATCACAAATGATCGATCATACCACCAGGTCATATTTTGGACATTACATAGAGCCCTTTGCTCCAGTCAAATAGATCAGTACCAAGTTGATGCCATTCTCAGCTGCTCAACTGTGCAATAGGCAGTGACATTCAGCTAACAAATTTACCTGTACAGAATAAAAATGATGTGCAATTTATCCAACCTTTTGAAAAACTACACCTATATTCAATCGAATGCAAAGTGATTTGCATGTTCCTTTATTTACAAATTGTTTGATTCACAACACAAAGCATCAAATTATTCTCATCAGTATCGTTAATCAAACTCATTAGTTTCTTTTATTGCTATGATTCTCATCTACAAGCAGCTTGCAATCAAACCGTAACAATAGTGCTCATCAGCAAATAAGGAATCCAAATCTTGTAAAACAGACTTACGAAACGATAATTAGGGAAAGCTGAATCCAACTTTGTTAAATCTGTGAAGAAAATTCCCAGGTATGGCACAATTCCCTGAACTATACCCTAGAAAAAACGAGGTGAATTTGTTTCATCCATTGTGAATGCATTGTCATATTTCCCAAGCATACTACTCCATGCCTTATTTATACCCTTTATCATGCAACTAAATCTATTTAGAATCAAAATTTAGGACTCAATTTTTAAACACAGTTATACAGTGGAATACAAAGTTAGATCTATAAAGGACAGGCAAGTTCAGAGTTTGATCCCTGATCTGTGAACTGTCAACTAAACCCAATGTTTGTGTAACTTCATCATTTGGAGATTGGAAATTTTCTATGTACTGTGCAATTTTGCTTGAAGATGAAAACAATTTACCGCACCAGATTTCAGAAGTTTGTCTCAATGAGGTTAACCCTCATTTTTCTAAACTCAAGAATATAATTCTGCGCAATGGCTTTTCATAGGACACCTTTCTTACCTCAAGAACTCATTTAATGGTCTCAGATGGTAGACTGGTTAAGAAGCTAAGAGCCGAAGAGATCCACCGGAATTGGCAAACTGGAACCAAAACTGGCTTTGTGGCAGGAAGTAAGTGTGATTTTAGAAGGGCATTTCTGCAACTTGAAGCTTTCATCCAGCAGCATACTGCAGGGTACAGTCGTGGCTCTTGCTGTGCGTACATTAATTTTCAAGACACAAAAGCTACAAGTATGAACAGCAGGTTCACAGATGACACAAGAATTGGAGGTGTGGTAAACAGCAAAAAGCCTTAGTTTCCAGGATTACACAAATGGGCTGGTTAGAAGGCCTGAAAAGAGGCAAATAGAATTCAATCCTGAAAAGTGTGAGGTGAAGCATTTTGGGAAGACAAATAAGTCAGGACAGTACATGTTAAATGGAAGTTTTAGAAAGTACAGAGGATCACGAGGACCTTGGTGTGCGCATAAACGTATCCTTGAAGGCAGGAGGACCTGTGGATAAGGTGGTAAAAGCACCATATTGGATACTTGCTTGAATATAAGAGCAGAGGTAATGACCGAACTGTCAATAACGTTAGTTGAGCCACAGCTAGAACACTGTGTGCCTAGAGGTGAAGGCTTTTTGCTATTTACCACATCTCCAATTCTTGTGTCATCTGTGAACCTGCTGTTCACACTTGTAGCTTTCGTGTCTTGAACATTGATGTACACACAGCAAGAACCACCACTGTACCCTGTGGTATACTGCTGGATGAAAGCTTCAAGTTGCAGAAATGCCCTTCAAAAGTCATGCTTACTTCCTGCCATAAAGCTAATTTTGGTTCCAATTTGCCAATATAGCTTGGGCTGGAACAATTCAGTGATGAAGAGGGGCTAAATAAGCTGAGGTTGTCTTCAATGCAACAAAGAAGCTGAGGGGGAATCTGGTTGAGGTGCAAAGA